GCCTGATTGCTCTGGCTAGGACTTCCAGTACTATGTTAAATAGGAGTGGTGACAGTGGGCATCCTTGTCTGGTTCCTGTTCTTAGAGGGATAGCTTCCTAATGATAATTAGGAAATATTATAAACAACTTTATGGCAATAAATTTTAAAGCATAAAAGGGCAAATTTCTATAAAAATTATGACTCACTAAATGTATTCAAGAAAAAATAGAAATCTGAAGAGTGTCATAGCCATTAATTAATTGAATAGGCAATTAAAATTAAATTCTCCCACAAAGAAAATACTAAGCCAGATGATTTTGCAGTTGAGTTCTACCAAACATTCAAAGAAAGATTATTCCAATCTTCTGCAAACTCTTCCAAGGAATAGCAAGAGAGGAAATACTTGTTCTGTGAGGCCAGCAGTACCATGATACCAAAACCAGGCCAGGTCAATACAATAAAATAAAAATTGTAGCCCAGTCTCACTCATTCACATAAATGCAAAAATCCTAAACAAAATATCAGCAAAGCAAATCCATCAGTTTATTAGAAAGATGATACATTGGTTTTATCCCAGAAATTCAAGGATGATTTAACGTTAGATAATTCATACATATAATTTACTTCATTGATCGATTAAAGGTTAAAAACTGTAGATATAGAAGAGGCATTCATAATTAATATAAAACAGAAACATCTTGGAAAACCAAGTTTAGAGGGGAACTTCTAAAACATTAGAAGAAATCTATTTAACATCAGTAATTTTCTTTTTTTTAATGGCTGAATAATATTCCCTTGTATATATACCACATTTTCTTTATCCATTCTCACTGCACACACAAAAGGTAATTATGTGAGGTGATGGAGGTGTTAACTAACCTTATGTATATATTTCACAATATATACATGTATCAAATTGTCACATTGTACACCTTAAATTTACACAATGTTATATATCAATATATCACAGTAGAGCTGGGAGAAAATTAAAAATAAATACACAAAAATAAAATCAGCAATAAGACTGTGTGTGTGTGTTTGTGTGTCCACTATCACTGCTTATATTCTACATTTTACTGTAAATCCTAACAGTACAGTAAGGTAAGAAATAAAAATAAAGAGTGTAAGATGTAGAAAAGAAGGAACAATGCTGTATCATTTACAGATGATATATCTACAGAGAAAACCCAAAAGAATCTATAGGTAAATTGTTAGAAATAATAAGAGAGTTTAGCAAGATTATTGGATTTAAGATCAATGTATACAAATCAATTGTCATTCTCTATACCAGCAAACATTAGAAAACATACACAAGAGCATTTAAAATAGCAATAAGAATTATAAGGTACCCAGCAGTAAATCTAATAGAAGACATGAAAGACCTATATGAGAGCATTTATAAACCTTTATTAACAGACATTGAAAAGGACCTAAAGAAGCAAAAAGATTTATTTATAGATAGGAGACTCAAGATCACAAAAATATCAGTTCTCCCCGAGTTATTCTATAGATAGATCCATTGCAATTCCAATGAAAATCCCAGCAGTTTTAGATGAATTTGACAGGCTGATTCTAAAATTTATATATAAGCGCAAAAGACCAAGAAGAGTGAAGATATTCTTGAAGGAAGAGGTGGAAGAAGAACAAAAGAAAGAAGAGAACAAGAAGAGGGAAGCTTTTCTGACCACATGGGAAGATTACCTAAAGCTGTAGTAATTGAGACACTGATTTTGATGCGGGTACAGACAAATTCACCAATAGATCCAAAGAGAAAGCCCAGAAACAGACCCACACCTAAAGGAACCAGATACATGACCAAAGTGGCATTGCACATCGTGGGGGGGGCAGGGGGTGGTGTCAGCAAACGTTTCTAGGACAACGGGTTATCAGTATGGAAAAAAGTAAAAATTAGACCCGGACCTCACACCATACGTAAATCAATTCTGGATGGAATAAAGATTTAAATGTAAAAGACAAAGCTTTAAAATTTTTAGAAGAAAATTCTTTCTGACTCAAAGTGACAAGGAATATCTTAAACAAGACAAAAATCATTGCATTCAATTCCATTACAATTAAGAAATTCTATTCATCAAAAGACAGTTTTAAAAAGTGAAAAGACAAGCCACTAATTGGGAAGAGATATTTGCAATACTTACTGACAAAGGTTTAGTATCCAGAATGAGAAATGATTAACGATAATGTCAACCCATTTGAAAAATGAGCAAAAGATGTGAAAGACACATCACTGATGATAAAACAGGAATGGCGAATAGCCCCACTCCATTACTATGTAGTCAAACTAAGACCATATTCTACACCTCTAGATTGGCAGAAATTAAGCAGTCTGGTAATATCAAGTATTGATAAGGATGTTGAGTAATGGGAACAGTCATACGCAACATACGGGATGTTAAAATGGGGATGAACACTTTGGAAAACAATATGAAATTATGTTGTGAAGTTGACAATTTACATACCATACAACCCAAAGACTTCACTCCCAGGCTTATCTGTAGAACATAATTTTTCAAACTGCAGTGTGACCCATTCATGGGCCTAGCCATTTTTTTTTTTAAAGAAACAAAGTTGAATAGAAAATATCAGACGGCATCATTCATAGAAATGATAGGTATTGTTTTGTGATATTATTCTTTCTAGTTTACATGAATATATGTTTGTACTGAGTTGTGATGTAAAATGTATTTCTTATGAGAGTGCTGGTCAAAAGAGAGGGAAAAGAGTGCCCTCAGATCTCTTGTGTGTGCGCCCTGGGCAACAGGCACAAAAATGTCCATAACTGCATTATTTAATAATAGGATAAAATTAGAAAGAAACAGATGTCCACCGACAGGAGAATGTACTAATACTTGATAATTTACCTGCACTGTGGAATATTACACAACGCTGAAAATGAACTATGGTTACATGTAATAATATGGATAAATCTTAGAAACAGTGTTGAACAAAAAAGCCAGTCCCAGAAGACTGTAGACAACATGATATCATAATTATAAAGCTCAAAAAAGCTCCACTAAATAACATAGTATTCAGGAATATGTATGTAATAGGTATATTTTTAAAAAGAAGCAAGGTATATATCCATACAATGGAATATTATTCAGCCATAAAAAGAAATAAAGTACTGATAATGCTACAACATGGATGAACCTTGGAAATATTATGCTAAGTGAAAGAAATGTGATGCAAAAAGCCACATATTTTAGGATTCTTTTATATGAAATGTCCAGAATAGACAAATCCATAGACACAGAAAGTAGATTAGTGGTTGTCAGGGGCTGGGGGAGGGGAGAATGGGGAGTGACTGCTAATGGGCACAGGGTTTCTTTTGGGGATGATGAAAATGTTCTGGAATTAGTGATGATGGTTGCACGATTTTGTGAATATACTCAAAGCCATTGAATTGTAGGCTTTAAAATGATGAATTTCATGGTATGTGAATTATATCTTAATTTAAAAATTTTTTTGAAAAAGAACAAGGGAATGATTAAAAAAATGTATTCAGGATACTGTTTACCTCTGGGAGTGAGGCAGGGGGATGGGCTGGAGGAAAACGTAGGTAAATGCAGCGGTATTTGTAAAGTTCTATTTCTTAAGTTACTTGTTTATGAGTGTTTATTTTATTACTATGCTTCACTATATGTGTGTTACATATATTTTTATACATATAAAATATAATGTAAAATTTAAAAGAAATACAAATATTAAATGAGAAAGCATTAAAAGCGCATTTCTGTCTCTTGATTAATGCTGCTTGAATCTCCGTCTCCAAGTCCGAGGTCTGTGCCTTTGCAGACTCTGGATGCAGTTGTTCTGACCTCTGGTGGCTGAGAGGTGAAAGGCAGCTGGGGGCTGCTTGCTCGGGCTGGGGAGGGTAATGGGCACGATCCCTCAGAGCTAGCGTGGTCCTGGCCACTAGACACTGGTCCAGGGGGTCAGGCCACTGCCAATCTCACCCCACTGGGAAGAGAGCAAACAGCCTTGGGCTTTCCTAGTTTGGTTTCTCTCCCCTTTTCCTCTCTGGCTCTTTATCACGCTCCTTTAAGCCCAGGAATGAGGTGTGTGTGTGTAACTCCACTGAATCTATCCCTGGGAGGGACCAAGTGGCTCTGCCTTCTGCCTCCATGCAGATGGCCCATCCGAGGCCACTGGCCCCAGAGACCAGGGACTTCATGAGCTCACGAGCAGAAGTCTCAGGCACCTTCTGGGGCAGGAGAGGCCAGAGTACTGATGCTCAAGAACCGGGCTCCAGGCTCCCTTTGTTTATTCAGACCACATTTCTGGAGGATTCTGAGCTAAAACCTATGGGAAGAGTTGGCTTGGCCACTTTAGAGGTGAGAGTGTGAGGGGAAACTTAAGGGAGAGCTGTCAGTATTTCAGGGTTTACCATACAGAGTCCAGGACACAGCAAGTCTCCCACCCTACCCTGCTGGCTAGACTAGAGGGACATTGGTTTACATGCCCCATTGAATCTGATATAAACAAGAACTTCTGACAGTGGGTGTTGGCTGTGGGGAACCAGGCCAGGAAGTCCCAGACGTTTTAATGAACTAGAGATGGCCACAGAAGGGTAGACTGGGGAGGAGGACGCAGATGAGATCATCTCCAAAGCCCATAGGGTTTCATGGCTGCAGCACCAGAGAGGCAGGTGGTGGAGGAGTTAGTGAGCTGGGTTAGGATCTCGGCCCTTCTGCTCATTTAACCTCTTTAAGTGCAGGTTCTTCACCTGCAAAATGGGTGAGTCACAGTGCCCACTAATTGTATTGATTCAATTGTAGTAATTGAATTGATGCATGCAGAGCATGCGGTCAGAGTTCAATAAATGTCAGCTGCTTCTGCTTAGGTGGTTTGAACGCTTACCGTGTGGAGAGAGCTCAGAGGAGAGCTGGGAATTCGATTCGGCCCCTGGTCAGGCCAAGGGTTGGAGTGGGGAGTCTCCTCTCCAAAGAGTCATTTTTTCCTCCCTCTGTCCCCAGACACCATGGAGGTGGTGCTGGTCTTTCTGTGCAGCCTGCTGGCCCCCGCGGTCCTGGCCAGTGGTAAGTACCCCTCTAGGACCTGGCTGTGACAAGATGGCACACCCATGGCCCTTTCTGGTGGAAGGTCCTGGTCCTTTGGGACACTAGGATTGGGGGGCTCTCTGATTATTCATGTTTGATCAGGGGCGCCTCCCTTTAGTCAGCAGAGAAAGTCCTGGAAAGTGACAGCTATTCACAGCCCCTAATCCAGCCTACCCGCCTCTCCCCGCAGGCTCCAGTAGGGTCTACTTTTAAGCCTTCAAATCCACCAGGCCTCTACAGACTTGTGGCCTAAACCTTGGGAGCCGGACCTACACATCATCTAGACTCTTTCCTTGTGCAAGTCACATGTCCTTCCTTGGTCTCAGTTTCCCCGTCGGTAACAAGAGGATAATAGACCCTGCCTTTGAGGGATGACGTAAGAATAAACAGGGGCAAGAAATGTGGAGGTGCAGTGAACACAGACTCTCACTGGGGCTCTGAGCTGTACCCGCCCTTGGCTCTCAGGCTGGCCCCAGCAGGCAGGCCTGCCCTTCTGTACTTCTCCAGGCATCTCTGCTTAATGGGCCCTTCTTCCCAGGAATCCCTTTGTGGGGAGTGAGGCCTGTGAGGCACGGCAAGGTATTTGGGACCCAGGATGTGTAGCCGTCTTCCTCTTGACCACGCTTGTTTATTTTTGCAGCAGCTGAGCAGGAGAAAGAAAAGGACCCTTTCCATTATGGTGAGCAGTGATGGCAGCCCTGGGTGTGAGGGGAGGTGCAGCCCCGTCCAGCGGAGGGACAGACACGCTTTCCCTGGCCCCTCCCTTCTTCCTTCTCTCACCCGTGTTCCTTTGCAGACTACCAGACCCTGAGGATTGGGGGATTGGTGTTCGCTGTGGTCCTCTTCTCCCTGGGGATCCTGCTCATCCTAAGTGAGTTCATTTGTTCCTTTGCTCGCTCTCTGTAAGAGCTGTGTCTGCCACTGCTAAGTGGGTGGAGAACAGCCTGGCCGTGCTCCCTCCTGGAGAGGGAAGGAGCCTATCTGTGTGCTCCCTGTTATCTCACTAACACAGTGCTGGGCATACAGTAACTGCTCAGTAAAACAGTGAAGAATGGACAGAATAAGTGCTTGATGAAAACAGCACAGATGAGAAGAGGGGCAGGGTGGCTCTCCTGGTGCTGTATCCAGCAGGGCATGCGTGGAGGAGTCACAGGAGACAGGAGACAGGGGCTGTCCTTCGAGTGCTCAGAGGGGTGGGCCCCGCATTCATTTTCCCTCTGGTCTGCATGGAGCTCTTTGCACTTGTGTGATCAAGCAGACTGCATGGTGTAGCCAGTTGAGCTGTTGAATGTTGAACCTTGGCCTCAGAAGAACCCTACCCCAACCTAGGATTGCCGCATACGGCTGTGCAAGCAGGGCACTGCCCAGGTGTGGGGGCTGCTATTTACATAGGTCCACAGCCCACACAGACTCACAGGGCAGCCCGGCTGTGGCCAGGCCGGGAGCATGACCTTGGATGGTTTCTTTGCCTTTCAGGTCGCAGATGCAAGTGCAGTTTCAATCAGAAGCCCCGGTAAGAATGCCCTGGCTGTGGCAGTGGGAGTGGATAGGGAGGGGCCTCCTGGTGTGTGACTCCAAATGAGGGTTCTTTTGGATTCTTGTCTCAGAAATAGGCTGTGTGGGGCAGGGATAGGGGAGAAGTTTTGACCCTTTCAAGGCAGACTGTGGGGCAAAGGAGAGGTCAACTCCTCCTTCTCTCTTCTGATGTGTGTGAGGGAGGGGAGGTGGGAAAGAACCTGGACTCTTGTCTGGAGGCCCTTGAGACAATTGGGCTTGGGAGAAGGGAGGCAGAAGGCCTCAGGGTCTCTCTTGAGGTCCATCTCGTCTGTACAGGACCTGTGACACCATCCCTGCTTGTCACCTGTTCATGAAGCTCTCTGAGCTGAGTGGAAGCTTAGGCTCCCTGTCACTCACCTTTCTCCCCCCATGTAAAGGGCACACCCCATTAGTCCACTGCAATAACCAACGCTAGCACTGGATCTCAGAAGTCCAAAGTCTGTGGCAGGATGCAACCCAAGCCCCCATCTGGCTCTAGGCCATCACTTTCCAGTACTTAGGGCCAACATTGAAGGGTACGTGTAAGTTCCCCTGACTCGGCCCCTTCAGTCCCAACTTCTCCCTCCGCCCCGTGCACCCCATGGTGGAGAGTGCTCGAGCCCTCAGATGACCCGGAGGAGACTGATTCAGACCGCCTGCCCCATCAAGGAGAGTGGCGATGCTCTCTGGGTTTGCCCTGGAGACCTCTGACGGAAGGCTTGTGTCTCTTCCTCGTGCAGGGCTCCAGGGGACGAGGAGGCCCAAGTGGGAAACCTCATCACTGCAAATGGTAACTGTCGGGACCCTCTGCCCAGGTGTGATGGAGGGAATGGGCGCGGGTCCTCATACGGGTCAGGGAGGGGTGGTCACCAGGTGCCATGGCCTCCCTAGAGCCACCAGACATGCTCTCATAGTGCTGGGAGAGGGGTCTCCAGGGCTTCCCTCTGTGTTGCCCCCTTACCTTCACCCAACAGACTACTACTCCTGACAACTGCTGTTTCCAGAGCATCTGCTAAGTGTCAGTCGTGGTCCAAGTGCTTCTCAGACCCCATCTCACTTAACGTGCACTCAGCCCCATGAGGTGGGCATCACCATCCACATTTTACAACGGAGGGACTCAGAAAAGTTAAGGAACATGCCAGGTTCCTGTAACCAGCGGGTAATAGGGCAAGGGTTTGCACCCAGGTCTGTCTGACTTGAAATCCCACGTGAGTCACCTCTTGGCTGTATGGGTCAGGCTCCCCCAAAGTTGGGCACAGGCATGGCTGCTGCAGGGGGTCACCTGCTGGGGTGAGGGGTCCATTCACTACAATCCATTCTGGTTTTCTTTCCAGCAACAGAGCCCCAGAAAGCAGAGAACTGAAGTGCAGCCCTCAGGTGGGAAGGTGAGATGCTGTCTGCCTGCGTCTTCCCGTCTCCGTCACTGTCTTTTCATCCGGAAGTACTGGGCTAGCTTTTGCAATGGACACAGCTTTTATGAGCTGTGCTCTGAGGAGTCTTGTGTCTGAACGGGGTGATGAGACAGACAGACCGAAACATGGAGGTGCCCCGCCCATGCTCACAGTAAACAGCCAGGAGATAGGGCTTCCACACAGCCCGGCGGTCAAGTTAAGAGGGCGTCATCCCAGCTGCCACGTGGATGTGACTTGAGAGAGACAGTTAGTGAAATACTCCTGATACCAAAGTGGCATAAAGATAATGGCTTTTAGTGATGATTCAGCAAGAACCTCAGGGCCACTTTTTAAAATTAATAATTATTTAATTTCATAATTTTATCATGAAACTTTCCAGCCCCATACAGAAGTAGGGAGAATAGCATAGGACGCCCACCCCGCATCAGCACTATCAGTTCTCAACATTTAGGGGCACTGTTTTTAGCTTCCGTTCCCGTTGTTCATTGTAGGGACATAGGAAAGTAATAACTGTTAAATGCTTTACAGTTTTCAAAATGCTGCCACACATACCAACTCGCTCGAGGCTGCCCGAAGAAGTAAGTAGGACAGGTGGAGGTTAGCCCGACTTTACAGATGCAGAAACTGAGGTCAGAGAGAATAGCCACACAGGTAGTAAGTGACAGACTGGAACCTGATCTTGGTTTAGTGCCATTTTCACGAGACCCCTCTGCTCCTGCCTGTCTCCCTTTGTGACATACCCTGGAACATACTCGGGGCTCGTGTCTGCCTTTTTTTTTCCCATGCAAATAATGCATAATAGACAGGTATATAACTTTGTCCTAAATTCTAAGTTAAGAGATTTCTGGATGTATAATGCCTGATACACAGCTTTTACTGTGATCGAAATGACACGGTATACTTGTATAGCATTTTAATTCTTTCCTACGCTTTTACATCCTCATCACAGCCCGTGGGCGGGGAGCGCAGGGCTCTTTACCTCCGTCTCCTCTGTGGGGCTCGGGAAGGTCAGTGATTGCCTGAGCTTGAGGTGGCCACGGAACCCAATCTGGGAGGCAGGTGTCCCAGCTGGTGCTTGGAGTTCTGTCCATTCCGTGGCAGCTGGCAGGTCAGAATCTTGGCTGTGGTGTGGGAAGGCTCAGGGAGGCGAGCCTTGAGCTACCAGCTTGTCTTGTCTTTTTTTTTTTTTTTTGTGAGGAAGATCGGCCCTGAGCTAACATCTGTCACCAATCCTCTTCTTTTTGCTGAGGAAGACTGGCCCCTGGGCTAACAACCATGCCCATCTTCCTCCACTTTATATGGGACGCCGCCACAGCATGGCCTGAGAAGCAGTGTGTTGGTGTGCGCCCAGGATCCGAACCGGCGAACCCCGGGCTGCCGCAGCGGAGCGCACACACTTAACCGCTTGCACCACCGGGCTGGCCCCTCTTTTTTTTTTTTTAACTAGGACTTCCTCAGAATCCCTGTTCTCAGGTCTCAGGACTGTGAGCAACTCCCGGGGGTGTCCTGGAATAGAAACCCTGGGTTTAACGACTTCCTTCCCGTGACTGCCAGGTTCCAGTCCTCCTGAGAGACCCTTTCCCCTGAGGCCCACCCTCTCCTATGCCTTCATCTCCTTTCCCTGCATCTCAGGCTCATCCTCCTTGCTTCCAGGAACATAGCACTTAGAATGGGTCTCATCCCGAATTTCACTGGGCAGAGGGGCTGTGCTCAAGGCAGGGAGACGAGCAGGTAAACATTCCTGAAAGGAGCCTAAGTTTTGTTTTCATTTAAATTCTCTCCCTCTTCAGCCTCCAGAACCTGAAGGCAGCTGCTTGAACCTTTAGATGCAAACCGCCACTACAGCAACAGGTCTTTCCCCAGGAGAAGCCAAGACTTGCGTGTCCCCCCGCCCCCTCCCCATCCCTCGAACACCAGTCCTCAATGCAGTGATGCAACTAACACCCGCCTCCCCACCTGCAGCCTGCGTTCTCGTCCCCTCTTGTGACGTGTCTGTGTGTGTGTGTGTGTGTGTGTGAGATGACTGTGGTCTTCGCGGCTGCTTGTCTGTGAGTGACGTTGTGTTTTAGTGAACCTGGACTCACTTTCCTGGGCAGGAGCTGAGCCACGTCACCATCAGCTCGTGCCTGCTCCCCTGCGGCCCCATCACTTCCTGCTCCTGAGAGTCTGCTTTTTCCCTGAGACACCAGTCCCTTCTCTTGATTTAGGGGTGGGTGTAAGGGCAGGAGCTCGGGCAGGAGTCTCCAGTTGTCTTGGGACTTGAGAAGGTATATATCACCTTCAAGATCATTCTTCATGGCCTCTCTTCACTCCTTTTACAAGCACCTCGCTTCCGTAGTCCACCCCTGACCCAAGTCTGTTCTGAGGGTCTCTTAGCAATCGGAAGTTCTTTGCCTTCAGGCAGGCTGTGCCCCTTCCATGGTCATTTTCCTCTTGGGGGCTTCCACCATGGAGTCCCCATCTGCCGTGCCCCGTCGCAGAGCGGCCAGGGATTCCAGGCCCAGGGCTCCCACTCTGCCCCTTGGGAATGTGCCCCTTGCATATCTTCTCAGCAATAACCCCATGGGCCCTGGAACCCCGCCCCCCTCTCCCACCTTCCCAGCTTCCGAGACTCCCATCTACCGCCCGGCTCGTCTGGACTCAGACTCACGTCCCCGAGTTGGGTCTCCACCAGCGATGGCTGAGGGAATCCGTCCTGCTGGGGCCAGCACTCTGGGGAGGAGGGCAGGGAGAGCAGGGGTCCTTTGCTTCTCTGTCCACATCCCATTGGTCAGGCAGCAGAGACGGCTCCTGCACCGTTTGCTCCCCGCCACTGGTTAGAGCGGCCAGTACAGCGGCTGTGCTGCAGGCTGGAGACTGGCAGAAGAAACAGCAAGAGGTCGAAGGTCATAAAGAGTGGAAAATCAACCAGACCCCGCCCCTCCCGTCCATTGTGTTCTCGTGGAAACTAACCAAACCGTGCCGCTGTGACCAGGACTGCTCTTTGTGTTGTGCTCTATCCTCTCAACAACAAAAGGGAATAAAATACCATTTGTTTCCTAGTGGCTCTGGGGTTACTCTCCTTTCTGTCAAGGAACTTGAGTATCTGTAGGGCCTGTCGTGCTTGAAGGGCCAAAGGCACTGTGTCCCAGGTCAGAGAGAGGAAGTGCCCACTGAAGAGGCAGCCAGGTGGTGCATGTTTATTCCAGCTGCTGCTTCTCTCCCCTCCCCTCCCTGACCTGTACCCACTCCTTCTCACCCTTTCCTCCCCCTGCTCCCCCCTACCCCTCCATCTCCACCCCTCCTCCCTAGGTCAGTCAGCCCAGGCTCTGCCCATAGCAGGACCTGTACCTTATGCACGTCCTGGAGGGAAGGGAGTCACAGTGGCTTGACTGAGGGCTTGCTGGCCTGGAACGAAAGGTTCTGCCTCTCTGGTCAGTTCTGGGACCGCTACCTAAGGATCACAGCATGGCGTGGGTGGGTCACTTAGGTTATGATCCAAGCCCTTATCCTTTCATCTTTCTCCAAACCCAAATACCCCCTCCTCTGTGAAGCCTTCCTGGACTTCAGGTAGAATGACTCCCTTCTTTCCTGTGCTCTGGTCACACTAGTTCCTGCCTTTATCTTCACGTTTAATATTCTGTACTTCAGATCCAAATGGTAGGGACCAGGTGGATAATGTCCATTTGTGAATCAGCTGTAGGGACACAAGAGATGGGGCAGAGGGGCCTGGGGTCACCTAGAGTGTCCTCCCAAAGACATCCCAATTCAGTTTTTAAGAAGTAACTGTTGGCCAAACAAACACAGCTGCCGGCCGATTCCCTGGGAGGTCGCTGGTGTGCGGCCCCCACCTCCACGTGGTTTGTGTGTCTTTATTGTGACACAATTCCCAGAGGGCAAGGATGATGTCTTGTTCTAACGTAACTGCCTGGATCATCTTAGGGTCTCAAGAAATCTTCACAGAGTCTGTCTAGATTCCGTGAGTTGTTAGAGATGCAGAATGGCAGGGCACAGGTCCTGAGGGACTCGGCGGGTCCAGCCACTCCCTGGCTGACCTGGGGACACTGTGGTGCCTGTCCTACTTCTGCGCCTGCTTCCTTCTACCCTCAGTCCCCCTGGTCTTTGCAAAGACTGAGGCTTGTCGTTGAGACCAAGCTCAACACTGTCAACCGGGTGATGGCGGGGGTTAAAAAGTCTGGTCACACTTAAGCTCTGTAAATACGCTAATGACCACGATTAGGCCAGGGGATTTACACGCCTTGCAGCAATTTCAGAGCAGACCAGAAGATCCTTAGAGGCCCCGGGTGATCAAAAGATTGTGGGTACCTTAAGACATTAAAGATAAGTGTAAGGAAGTCCAGTGGGGAAGTTCTGATTTTTTTCTCATAATAATTGTTAAAAATAGAGAATGATAGTTATGTCTAGCATATGTATAAAAATGGTTATCTTTGCCAGACTCTGAGCCCCCGCTTATTCCTGGTAATCCAGCGTCATCTCTGAAGCAGGGAGAATATTCACATTTTACAGATTCTAATAAATTTGTGACTGGTCTAGGGCCACGGAGCTGGGATGTGGAGGAGCTAGGAATTGAGCCCAGGCTGTGTTATCTCCAAAGTTCTCTACAGCACCACACGGCCTGGCTTCCTTCTCCTGGGGGAGGTTGACGTCCACATGAAGGGAGCGGATCATCTGGGCTGGTGGGGCCACATCTGGAGCCTGGCTCTTCCTTCAGGGCACAAATGAGCTAGACTGTGCTCGGAGGAGGGTCTCGCTAGAGGTGAGTGCTCTGGAAATAAGACACATAGAGAACAGTCAAACTGATGAGCAAAATAATAATAATAAATAAATAAGAGCAGCTAACACTTATCAAGCATTTACTATGTGCCAAACACTGGGCTGAGGACTTCACAGGTATCAACTCGTTCAGAACTCATGACCCTATATGGTGGTACCCCTGTTTCACAGATGAGCAAACAGGCTTGGTGGGACTTGGCTGAGTTTGCACTGCTGGTGGCAAAGCCAAGGTCTAGCCCAGGCCCGTCCAGCTCCAAGCCAGGCTTGCTCTGTGTGCTGCAGAGGAAAGGACTTAGGCCCATCAGGGGAGGTAAGAGGGAGGCCGAACTTGGCCTTGTGTGATGGAGCCCTTAGTTCCCACGGCCATGATGATCCGAACCTGGAGCTCCCCATCACTGGAAGTGTTCCAGCTGAGGGAAAGTGACCAGCTGGTGGGATCCTCTAGGCAAGGACTCTGAGAACCTACTCAGGATGACCTTAGTGTCCAGGCCCAAACTGAGGGCCCCTCCCCTCCCCCCCACTGATGGATGAGCCTCTTCTCTCTCACTGGCCTAGCATTGCAGGGCCAGGGAAGAGGAATCCAGAATCCAAAATCCAGGCATGGATTGCTGCTTAAAATGTCTTCCGTCTGGACAGGCACTCCACACAGGCAGGAACGTGTCCTGTCAGCCTCCAGGCATGTGACTTATGTGTGTGATTTGGTTGGATATAGCAAGTGGAACTTGGTTGGACAGGAAGGCTGCTGTGCCATTTCCCAGAAGGGAATGCTGAGTCTCCTGGTCTCAGACAGTGACCTTGGGTGTCCTGCACATCTCACCTCCTGACGACTCCCCCTGTCCACCATGAATTCCACTCCCAATATTTTCAAGCCTATTTGCATGGAGGTGTTTATGTTACGTAACACCACATAAAAATAGGTCAACCTGCCTTCTGGGCCCCCAGGCTGTGGCCTTCCCCACCACTCTGTTTTTTTGCAGGTTGTGGATTGGAACTTGCCAAATTGTTCTTGGAAGAGAGTCAGAGGCAGGGAGGGTGAGGTGGGGGAGGGGGGTGCCAGGCTGAAGTACGCCCCAAGGTCACCGGGCTCCTTCTCCCCTTCTTCTGAGGAGGAGGGTTCTGCCCTCCTTGGGATCATGGGCTGGCAGGAGTGGCTAGGGCTGCCCAGCTCTGTCTGGTTCACACTAACCTGTCCCTGGGTTCTCTGCCTCACCTTGGGCTCAGCGAGAGAGAGACAGACAGACAGACAGACGGGGAGAGAGAGAGATGATCAGGTGTGTTTGCCTGAGCCGGGGGAGGAGCTTTGGAAATACCTGTCTTCAGGCCACAAAGAGGAAGAATGGCCACCTCCCACCATTAGTGTGATTCATTGCTGTCACAGCTGAACTCCAGGGAGGCAGAATCAGCCAGCTCAAGCCAACCGGCTATCGATTTTATGGAGCCAGCCCCAGCCTCGTGCCTGGTTGCACAATAGTGGGGCACCTGCCAAGGCAGTGATGGCAGAGCAGGTGATGCTGTGATCGGATGTCCTGAAGCACCAGGGGTGGGAGGGGCTGCTGGAGGGTAGGCCCCTGCACCATCCAGAAGAGTGGGTTCCTGCCTCTGAGCCAGGCCCGGAGCAGAAGGAGGCTCAGGGCATTCCCCGTGTTTCCCTCTTCTCTAGCAGTGTGAGCTGGGGCAGACTCCAACGTCTCTGTCAGTTTCCTTCTCTGCAAAGTGATGTCCTCCCTAGCCATAGAGTAAGCTGGGCTCCTGTGTGCCCCTGGGAAAGCCACTGAAGCCTCAGTTTCCTCAGCTGTACAACTGGTCCATCAGTATCTTTCCCATTGTCTCACAGGGTCAAAGTGATACAATGGACATAAAAACACTTTGAAAATTCGACATGTAGGCATTATGTTATTAATATTTATATTACTATCCGTTCCTTACGTCTTCTTTCTTTGACAGCAGGGTTCCCCTTCTGTTGGTTAGACCTGGGTTCAAGTTCTAACTTGTCCACATACCCCTTGCAGTCTCCTCTCTGTAAAACGGGTGTCATAAACCTTGGCGGAGTCGTTGGGAGGAAGCAAGTGGATCAAGGAGGCCTGAGCTCTTTGAAACTATCCAGAAGTGTGGAATGGATGGAATTGTTCCCAAGTGAGGAGAGCCGGGCACCAGACTCAGTGAAGGCACAGACATTTAACAGATGTCGTGATCTCAGTGCTCGCAGAGGCCAGCCTAGACTTGGCAATCTGTGAAATAAATGGCAAAGATGGTTACAAAGCCAGACGCCAGCTATTGGGGCCACGTCATCTGGTCGAGGAAGAAAGGAAGGAGCAGCAGGAGGTGGAAGGCCTTCCCAGAGGTGGGGGCCCTGGAGCAGCTTTTCGGGATAAGGAGGGATGTGTTTACTGGGAGGAGAGGACTGCAGCTGGAGAGAAACAGCCTCTGTTCTAGTTTAAGCCCAGACGTGAGTTCTGAGAAAAGTCGAGAATGCGTTTCTCTCCAGGGCATTCACTGTGGGAGAGGTGGGTCAAATGGGTTTGCCCTGGCCACCAGCTGTAGGAACAGAAGACGACGTCCCCATCCCCCACCGGCTCTGGGAGCAGAAAGGCCTCAGTGACCTTGACTCTTAGAGTACATTGCCCTTTGGCAGCTCCCAGGACCCGTGTGCCCCATGGCCCCATACCTACCGTCTTGAAGCCAACACTTAAGGAATGGACCCTCCAGGGCCCACCTCCTCCCAGCCCCGCCTTATAAGACCCCAATGACCTTGGCATCTGCGGCCACAGCAGGAGACAGGAGCCAGCGCTCCTTGGGGTTCAGGACCTCTGGGCAGCACAGATGGGGCCTGGGATCCGCCACCTTCCCTGCCGAGTGGCCATACATGCCGTGCAGCTGAGGACTGAGCTGGGCCAGGAATCAGGACTTTCCAGGGGCTTCTGGCTTCTTTCCAGCTGCGAGCCAACACCAGGAGGTTTGACTGGGGACCTGGAGTCCAAGGCCGTGCACCCTGACGTGCATCCCCTAGACATGCAGGGCTGGCAGAGCTGGAGGACCCCGGCGTGGGAAGGCTGGTGGTGAGGGCCTGTGCCTCGCTACTGGCTGTTGAGCAACAGGCAGACAAAGCCCAGCTGAGTTTCCAGTGTTCCACCTCCTTGCCCCCCCAACCCAACAGTGACCACTCCAGGTTGCTGCCCTGAGACCGAGGAGTCAGGGGACAAATGGAGGCCTGCTTGGGGAAGACAAGGGAGACTGAGGCATGGCAACTAGGGACACTGTCCCACTGGGTGTGACAGTGCTCAAAGAGGGATCTGGGAGTTGGGGCTACCTCTCCATACCTCCCAAAGATCTCCTTGATCTATAGGTCTTTGAGGGAAGAGCAGGGTATGGCTGGATAGCTCTCTTTGGCTCCAGCCTGGAACAATCAGACGAAGGAAGGTTTGGGGGGGGTCCCTGCCTGACTTGTAGCCTTTCAGGGACAGCAGAGGAGCACTCCCACCCCATTTGGCCCCACGTCCAGGAAAGACTGGAAGAACAAGGAATGGCACCAGACACCAGCAGGGAACAGCCGTGCTGTGTGGCTGTCCGGGCAGGAAAGGAAGGCTGGGGAGGCTGGGTGGGTGGTAGGCTGGCAGAGACCATGCTAAGGGGCAGGGAGGGCAAGGCGCTCTGGGAGCCTGCTTTAGAGATCACCCCGGCAGGGGCCTGAGCCCAGGGAAGGGATTACAGTGAGTGTCCTTGTTTCCTGGAAGGCCAGCTCGGGGTGAGGCTATGAAGTCGGCATCTATGAGGACCTTCTTTGTCCAGGCATCATCTCAGTTCCTACAACCCTGCAAGGTAGGTGCTGTCATCCCATTTTACAGATGGGAGAAGGAGACCCACAGGGGTGACCTTCCCCATGTCACACAGTCCATAGTGAAGAGACAGGATGCAGAGGTCTGGCCCCCGCCTGCAGAGGATGTGTGGGAGGAGAGGCTCTCCTGGGCTTCTCTCCAGGGGACCATGGGCCACAGGTTGAGAGAGCCGGGGCCTCCCTGGAGGAGAGCAGGGTGGCTCTGAGAGAGGGAACCCTTGTCTCCAGTGTCAGCCAGGCTGATGGCCTCGGTCAGCTGGTGGGGTGGGGGGACAAGGAAGGAGTCTGAGGAAGGACTTGGGTGTGAGAGAGGTAAGGGGGGTGGGACCTCCTCAACTCTTAATTCCCCGGAAAGGATAAGTGAACATTTTTATGAAAATTGCTGGAGGATTCTGGGTGAACAGCTGCGAGGAGGGGAGGGGCAGGGATGGGGAACTCCCCGAGGAGGACTCTGGGGAGCTGTTAGCAGGGTGTGGGGCATGCTGACCAGCTGCTGTCTCTCTGTGGGGGCAAACTAGTTCTTGCCACCTGTTATATGGTGGGTGATTTCAAGGGAAGAGGCTGTGTTAGGCAAGTTTTGGGTCTGCCTGAGCCACTGGCAAAATTATTTCAGCTCTGGGACTAATTCATTCATTTAACAAAACTGGGGGTCCACCATGGACCAGGCCCTGTTGTAGGCACTGGGCATCTAGGAATGAACACAACAAAAATCCTTGCTCTCCTGGAGTTTAAATTTTAGTTGGAAGAGAGACAAGAAACAAGATAAGGAAAATATATAACATCAGATATAATAAGTGCTACAGAGAAAAAATAAAGCTAAGAAGGAATTTGAAACATTGCAGAGAGTGGGTGTGAAAATTTTAGACTGTGATGCCAGGAAGGGTCTTCTGAGTCAATCTATGAAGAAAGACCTGGATAAGGTTAGCCAGGAAGCTCTCTGGAGGAAGACTCTTCAGAAAGAGGGAACAGCCAGTGCAAGGGACCTGAGGCAGGAGTGCGCCTGGAGGGTTAGAGGACCATCAAGGATACCAGTATGGCTGGAGCAGAGAGAAGGGGCAGGGAAGCAGGAGACAAGGTCAGAGAGGTCATTGGGGCCAGATTAAAAAGGGCCATATAGGACACAGAAAAGACTTTGGTTTATACTCTGAGCCCTCGGAGGGTTTGAGTGGGAGAGTAGACTCCTTGTAAAGTGAGGGGGCTGGTGGGATAACCTTGGAGGCCCTTTCCAGTTGGTCAGTCTACCACACAGAGTCTTCATTCAGGATCAAAATGCCTTCCCTCACAGCATTAGAGTCTGGGAGGAAATGTGGAGTGTGTACATGTGTGTGTGGTGGTGGGGGGCAGAGGGGGTGTTCTGGCTGAGATTTCCACTTTTCTCTAAAGTCCCATCCAGCCCCAAGATCTGTGAACCTCTCAAAGTGCCCACCCTGGGGGATTTCCGCTCAGCAGCTCTGGGCCCTCCTAGCGTGCAGGTTTCCAGTGGTCATGTGAGTGGCTCAGTCACTGGGCAGGTCTGCCCCTGCCTGGTGGGGTGGAGGAAAGGAGCAAGGGGCCTGGAGTCAGGGCCCCTGCTCAGGTCTCCAGGACAGATCCCAGCCCATCCACATAATGCCCCTCCAGGCTTGCATTCTCCACTTCTGGAGCGTTTCCAGCCCAACGTGGCTCTCTGGGGGCATCATTAGTTGTCTCCGCAAGGCAGGAAGAGTTGCTAACGAGGGACAGAGAGGGGAGGCTTCATCTGACCAGAGCTGAGGGTCAGAGGCTGGGGCCAGAACCAGCAGCTCCCAGACCCCGCTTATCAGTGTCCGCGCTGTGGGGGCTGAGCAGGGTGGCCCACAGGGCACCTGAGGGAGACCCTGTGGTCCCAAGTGAGCCACACAGAGACTGCTTGTCATGGCCTTGCTCCAGGCCATCAGAGGCCCCAGTGGCCAGGGAACGGGGACTTGGCTGAGCCAGTGTCGGTGGCTGCTCTGCCGCTCGCGCTGTTGGCTCACGGCTCCAGCTGGGAGACAGGCCCTCCACACCTGCCCCAGGACTAGAAGTGCTGTCTTCTGGCCGTTCCCCTCTGGCTCCAAACAGCAGTCCTCAGAGGCCTCGTTAGACTGCTGGTGTCTCCTGCTGGGCCCCGAGATGTTGCATGTGGCGGGTGAGTCTGACACCATAGGCTGTGGTAAGTCCCTGGGGGCTAAGGGAGGGGGTCCCAGCTGAGGAAGGGCAGGCTACCATGGGAACAACCCTACACCAGCTCCCCCTCCCAGCTCCCAGCTGCTCCCCATCTCTGCCCTACTTCAAGAGTGACACAGGAAGCTGCAGCTGGTGCCTCGGGCCTCATGGCCATGTCCTGAAAAGCATTCCTGCCCTACCTAGGGCCGATTCCAGGGGGCTGCTGCTATCTGTCCAGTCTCAGGGGACTCCCAGCTACAGAACGAGGCCTTGGGGCAGGGTATATCAGGGCAAGGGCCCAACTGGCCTGCAGGAATGAGGTGCAGCTGAGTAAAGGATCAGGGGACCCACAAATGCCTCTGAGTGTCTCCCTCAGCTGCCACCAGCCTGATGGAGAATAGGGGCTCTGATTCTGCTGGCTCTGCCCCAGCCAGTGCCCTTCTGGCTCCTGCTGACCTTTGCAGGCACCTGGGGGGAGAGGGGCTAGTGTGGGGGCTGTGGTTTGTTTCTCAGTGACTCACAGCTTCCCCCTTCCTTGGGAGCCCAGAGGCGGTCAGAGAATCTCCCTGGCTCTCACGTGGATCCCGGCCCCAGCCCGCCCCAGCAGGAGGCACGAGGTGAGGGCTCCCTTGCCAGCCCCTCCTCCCCACCTCTGTCTCTTCCTGCCCGTGGGCTTGGCTGAGGGTGGAGGGAGGGAGTGCCACTATTTCCATCCAGGCCCTCTGCAACCGGCACTTCACGACTCTCCTCCACCGAGGACACAGCCCGCAGCTCCTGCCATGGACAGGTGGTACCTGGGTGAGTCCCCTGAGCCCCATCCCTCCCGCCTTCCCAGATTCTGACACAGGCGTCCACCCCATCACTTTCAAGTGTGCCCACCAGCTCCCCAGAAGCACAAGAAAAGCAGAAACAGAGAGGCAAGATTTCTAACCAAGGGCATCTCAACATGGAACCCTGGCGTGCTGTGATCTGTGCTCTGAGCATCTCTGAGCTGCAAGAGCCGGAAAGATAACGTATCCAACAGCCTCCTTTTCCGTCTGTCTAGCCCTCCGTCCATCTGCAGGAACTCTGAGCCAGACTGCTGGGTTCAAATCTTGGTTTCCCCACTTCCTAGCTGCCTGACCTCAGGCAAGTTATTTAACTTCTCTTTGCCTCAGTTGCTTGATCTATAAAATGAGGATGACAATAATGCCCTCCTTACCTCACCGAATCGTTGTGATGATTAAATGAGTTAATTTTTGTAAAGTGCGTAGAACAGTCCCTTGCACATAGAGTTAAAAAATGCAGCTATCAACTTGCTTTCTCTATTTCTCTTTTTGTCTTCTATCATCTATCGTCTAAATATCTATTTATCTCCCTCTGTATCTCCCTATCTATCTATCTATCTATCTATCTATCTATCTATCTATCTATCCATGTATCTATCTTTCCACCTATCTTTATATCCCTTATTATTCTAGAGAGAATTCACATGGCTTACAAAGATAGATGGAATACACTGTGATGCCAAGAGAATGTATAATAAGGGGGCACCAGTGCCTGTGTGAGAATGGCAGTGGCTTTGGGAGCACAGCCTGGGGGTCTGGCTTTCTAGCCCTGGTTTTGTCACTAACTGGGTATTTCAGGCAAGTCCCTAGCCTCCCTGCCCTCACCTTCCTGGTCTGCCCCATGGAGGTCATGGCATTGCCCTGGCCACCTCCAGGGGTCCATGTGGGAGCACATGATGAGCCTCAGTTTCTTCATCTGTAGAATGGAGCAAACACAGATTCAGTGGGACAGCGCTTGCAAAGAGCCTGACTCGTGGTCAACTCCTACTAAACATAAGCTCTGTGGCAATATTTTCATGAGTATTCATCCCTTGGCCCTGAAAGCAGAAGAGAGTGAATGGGGGTCATGGCTCCTGGTCTACAAGGTCATGACATTCTCTCTTTCCATCTCACTCCCATGCTCATTGTCATTGGAGAGTGGTTGGTTTTCCTATGTCCAACAGCCAACGTTCCACAAAAGATTAATGCCTATTATTTCTCCAGTCAACGCAGGAATAACAGTGACAATAATGACACTTACTGTGTACCAGCCCCCACGCTAGGCTCTTTACATGCATCATCTCACTCCTCACAACAACCCTATGAGGTAGGGAGCAGTCCCATCTTACAGATGAGGAGATTGAGGCCCAGAGAGGTTAAGTAACTTGACAGAGGCTGTACAATCAGCGAGTGGAGAAGCCAAGAAGTGAATTCAAGTGTCGATTCCCTGCACTGCTCGAGGATTCATAGATGGGGTCATTCTCTTTGGAAGGACTAACATGCCCTTGGTGGACGCTGACTGTTGGCCTTGGCCCTTTGGCTACCACTGTGCGTCAGCCTCTCCTGGAGGCCAATTCGATTGACTAGAACTCAGCCAGGAATATGAGCACCCACGGAGTACCCAGCACTGGGGTCCCAGAGGTGAAGGAGGCCACAGTGGAGCCGGGAGGCGGCCTGGGAGATGTGGGAAACACCCGACTCCTAAAGCCGAGGCCTGGCTGTCAGTCTCCATCTTGCCCCTCACGGCTGTGTGACCTTGGGCCAGGGCCCGGCCCTCTCTGTGCCTCAGACTCCTCATCTGTAAAATGGGGAAATAACGCAAAACCCAAGGAAATAACAGGAAACTTCCTTGTAAATCATGAAGGCAAGGCCTTCTCTCTGTGGTGAGGCTTGACTCCTTCCTGAAGGAGCCTCTGGTGCCACATGGGAGCCAAGCCAAAGGGAGCGAGCACTTCAAGATTGTAGAAGGAAAGTGCCAGGGAAAGAGACTAGTTAGGGACGGCTGGAGCCTTTCTGACTGCGGTGTGAGCTGCCAGAGGTGGCCTCTGTGGATGAAGATGGCCACAGAGGAACAGGCATTCCAGGGCAGCAGGGGCACGGAGGGTGAAGGAGCAGGGTGGGCTCAGGGGGCCGTGAGGAGGGAGGGCCAGGCACCCGGGACCACCTCAGGGAAGCCTTGAGTGCTAGATGAGAGACATCAGCCGACACAGTGATCTCCACAGTGGTTGGTGAGGTGGCAGCAGCTGGGGTTGAGGGCTTCCTCAGGACCCCTGACATTGCCCCCCAAGCTGGAGGACAACTGACTGCATTTTGAAACTTCCGCCTCCCCACTGCCACAGCCGCGGCTTCTCTGGCTGGTGGCAGAACACCACTGCCAACCCGTCCCCGGCCCTTCTCTCTGGAAATTTCCTTTGGGAGAGTTTGGAAACCGGGTCAGCTCTTCCTTGCCCCTGCTGCCCGCGACCTCCTCACGCCTCAGCGGGAGCCCCTCCGTCCACGCCAGGGCTTTTCTTGTGACCAGGGTAAATATTACCTGGCACTGTTAATGTTTAATGCCCCCGCCTCATCCCTGGCCACCCTGCAGCCAGGCACTCTCCCCGAGGCAGAGGCAGCAGGAAGAGGGCAGTGGAGACGAGCCCAGCCTGTGGGGAAATGGCAGGGTCGTCGACCGATGATGGTGAGTGTGTGCGTACGTGTGCGAAGCAGGAGGTGGCCTCTGCTTGGACCCCCTTTCAGGGATGAGCTGGACCCCACTCTTCCATCTCCTGGCACTTTGCCTTCCAGAGCACCTGGCACCCCTCCTCCACCCCTGCCAGCCTCCTCTCTAAGAAAACTTGCTGTTAAAAGAGGATTCTACCTTAACTCCAAAGAAATATGGTTTGAATGGCAGAACCTTGGGCGCCAAGTAGGAACTGGTGGGTATGCGGGGTGAGCTTCTATCTTGACTTTTGGGCACACTCCTGTCCTGGGTCAGTGTGTCTTTCTGGACTATCTAAGCTCAGAGCAGGAGGTGGACGGGGGTCAGGTGGCGAAAGGAGCAAGTCCCTCTGCGCAGCCTCCTCAGGCTGGCTTTGGGGTGAGACCCCCACGTTCAGGACGCACTTGCAGAAGGATCTGGTGACGTGGAGTGACTCAGGCCTGGAGGCCAACAGGGGCATCTGTTGACCGCGGTGGATTTTGAGTCAGATCTAGGATAGATGAGGGCTTTGGGTGAGGGTGGGCTCATCAAACGGCTCAAAACGAGGCAGTTCCCCGGTGTGGTGAGGGGAACCGTGTGTCTAGTCATGGCTCTGGCCCTAACTCCCCCTGTGACCTTGAACGAGACCTGAACGGAATCTGTGAGACAACCTTGAAGGCCTTCCGCATGGGAACAGGTGTCTGGGCCCCACAGAGCCTCCCCTTGGCCTCAGGCCCTTCAGGCCCAGGTGCTGACCCCTCCTAGCCTGTCTGCTCCTGCTGTAGGGAGACTGCCGCCAGGCACTGCTGGGCTAGCCCAGCCCCAAAGCCTCCCATTGCCCAGGGCACAGTTCAGCACAGCCTGGGAGGTGCCGACATGCACATTCCTTTGACCTTGGGCACTGCTTCCCTAGTGCCAAGAAGAGGCTCAAACAGGGCAGGAAAGAAGGGCTGCCCTCAGCCATGGCAGAAAAGCTCTGGCCAGGCTGCCCTCCAGCTGCCCAAGGGCAAGTGTGCTCAGTGTCCGGGGCTGGAGGGCAGAGCTGTGACACCTGCTGGCTGCTGAGGGGCTCCACGTCAGGGCGGGGAAACACCGAGGGAGGCAGGGGACTGGACCAGACCCCTTGGCCTTGAACATCTCCTTCCTTCTGACATCTGAGAGGCAACGTAGCAAAGGGTTAAGCACCTAGATTCTTAGCAACCTATTGCCTGGGTTCAAATCCCAGCTGTACCCTTTACTCGCTGTGAACTGTGGGTGAGTTACTTAGCCTCTCCGCCTCTGTCTTCTCATGGGTAATATTGGAATAATATTATGCCTCACAGCGTTGTGACGATGGTTAAGTGAGCTAATGCTGTGTTAGCCTTAGCCTGGCCTGGCACATGGTGGGCAGTATCTGCTAATGTTTCTGAAATAAATTCGCTTCCCCCTGAGGACAGCAACATAGGAGAGAATATCAAGACCCTGTTCTGCCTCCAACTTTCAGTGGGACTTTGAACGAGTCTCCAAACTGGGCCTCAGTTTCCTCCTTCTGTTCAGTGAATTCTGAGATTCTATTGATTCATTCACTCATTCATCTCACAATATTTGCTGAGCACCTTGCTGTTGATTAGTCATAGGGAGGGAGGCTGCAGGCGAGTCTAGGGGGAGATGTCTTTCTTGGCCTTTTCTTCTCTTTGTATGAAGCAAGGACAGGAAAGAACCACCCCTCTCAGAGTTGCCAGAGGCCCCCCAGGTCCCTGCTCCGGATGCTCAGTATTTGGTCCCAGGTTGACTGTGTCTGAAGCAGCCCAGGGCAGAGGCCCCCACCCACAGTGGCCTTAGCAGACCCACCAGCCTTCCCTTGCCTGCTTGAACCCTTGGGGGTGCTGGGACAGGAAGGACAGGGGTCCCACCCACCGTCCGACTTGCCCCTCACCCCACCTCTGGTCTCTTCTCAGGAGGCAGCCCCAAGGAAGATGTGGACCCATTCTACTACGGTAAACCTGGCGGGCCCCTCCTCCCCATTCTTCCTGAGCCTGGCCCCCCACATCCCTGGTTCCCAGCTTCTCCCAGCCCTGGGTGTGTGCCCCCTTCTTCCCTGTTACTGTGGGGCTGCTGCCAGGATGGCCCGTGGGGACAGATGCCTGGGATGACCCATTCCACCCCTTGCCCTCTCCTTCCTCAGACTACGAGACTGTCCGCAATGGGGGCCTGATCTTCGCTGCCCTGGCCTTCCTCGTGGGGCTTATCATCATCCTCAGTGAGTGGGGCCAGCCTCGTGTTGGAAGGGGTGCTGATGGGGCCACATCTCTTCTCAAAGCCACTGAGCACACTGGCTTCCCAGGTGGGGGTGGTGGAGCCCTTGCACCCCCTCCCCAGATCCTGGAAGAGCGGAGTGTGCCCCTCCCCTCCCCTCCCCCCCTCCCCTCCCCCATGCAGGATGCGGAAACTCACAGACACCCTGTGGGGCGAGGCGTCTTGGAATGCCTCTCGGCTTCGTCCTTGGACCCCACAGAGGAGCGTCCCGCTTCCTCAAGTGCACCCTCTAGTGGACGCAGGAGGCGCTGCCGAGATGGGAGAGCCGGCTTCCGCAGGTCTTGGGAAGCTCCAGTGTAAACGGAGACCCAGGGAGGGAACCAACCTCTACCGGACACCCCCCTCCGCCAGATCTGGGCACTTTCTTGGCTTGAGCTACTTCTCAGCCCGTGCAATCCTCTCAGCAACACTGAGGATGGCCACGACGGTCACCATTTTCCAGCTGAAAAATCAGACCCACTCTGAGAGATACGGCAACTTGCCTGAGGTTCCACAGTCAATCAGAAGCAGAGTCGAGTTCAGCTGAACCCAGGGGTGTCCCCCCCACTCCACCCACTGCTGGAAAGCAAGCGTGCCTGGGAGCCAGAAGCCTTAGGCCCCGCTGCCAATTTACTGTGGATCTCAAGCTCCCTGGGCCTCGATTTGCTCATCTGTTAACAGGGATGATCCCACTTGCCTCATAAGGTTAGGCTGGCGTCCAAAGACGTGGCTGCCAAGAAAGCACTTGCAAGGATCCGACGTAGGCATGGAGAGTTCTGGGGGAGAGAGGGTCCCAGTATAGCCCCCAGCCCCAGCAGGCACACAGCAAGTGCTTAATAAATGCTTATTGACTTGTTTTGGTGCGACCAGAAGAAAAATACACAGAAACACAACTACCTCTGTGTCCTGGGATTCTAACACATCCACGGCTGGTGCCACTCCACCTGAAGGCTTCAGTCTGGACATGGCTGGTCTCCCTGATTTGCCTGCAAGCTCCTCGGGGAGGGCACTGTGTAGTGGTTGAGCATGTAGGTGCAGGAGGAGATAGCCCTGAGCAGGGATCTGGGCTCTGGACTTACTGCCATCTTTCTCCAAGTGCTTAATGAGCAGCCACTACATGCCCAGCTCTATGCTAGGCACACCACCATGGCCCAGGCTTGGCCACTGCTCTCAATGCGCTAACAGCTCACCACGGATCCACTGTAGTAAATATCTGTTGACCAACTGACTGGCTGACTTGGGCTCCTGAATGCTTATGGTCCAGCCCTATATAGAAAGAAATAGTCAGCTGTGGCCTCCAAGCCACACTCCAGGACACCAGGTGGTGTTGGCAGGAGGGAGGGAGGAGAGACTACAGAGCTGAGTCCTCCAGGGCAGAGAGGGTCTCCTTGGAAGAAAGAGGCCAGTGAAAACTAACCTCCTTTCTCTCTTCAAGGCAAAAGATTCCGCTGCGGGGGCAAAAAGCAGCACCGGTGAGCGCCTGCCTAGTGGGGGGCAGGGGGAAGGATTTTGGTCTCTGAGGCCTGGGAGGGGGATCCCTAAACTCACCGCTTCCCCCACTGACCTCTGACCTGTCTTCTTTCCTTCCCACATCCCAGGCAAATCAATGAAGATGAGCTGTAATGACAGGTACATTTGGGAGGGGTGGGCGAGGGGGGCAGCTAGAGATGGCCGTGGAAAAATGAGGAAGAGCTTGGGACTGGGCTGGGAAGAATGTTAGGGTCTTCCATCCCTCAGTCAGGCAGTCTGTCACCCATCATGTGTTTTTAAATGATCACCAAGTGCCCAGTGTGGTGTGTGTGGCAAAAGGATGCTGCAGAGGAGCCCCAGAGAAAGGCGGGATGAACAGGGAATGAAACGCAAGTCCCTCCCTCTGCCCCCACCGCAGCCCAAATCCTGCCTTTGTCTTTTCAGAGTCAGCTGTGTCCACTGTTGCACCAGGTGGTTGGGCAGCCTTCCCTGAGCTGTACCTTTGTCCCGGCACTGCCAGACCCTCCGGCTGAAGGAAGTGCCAGGCTCCACGTGACCCTGGGTGGGCATGGTCTCCTCCAACCCCGTGCCCCCTCATGCTAATCATAAAGCCAGCCTGGCTCCTTCCCTGGCCTGCCTCCCTCCTTCCTTCTCTCCCATAACTGCCATGCCCCACTCCTCCAAGTTGGAGTAGAATACAGCCTGGTCTCTTCTGGTTTGCAATTAATTGCTCAGACATCCATCTGCCTATTAAAGCAAGAAGTTCAGTATGGCCATCTGTAGGCCTCTCCTCGCCTCCTGAATTGCCAAGAGCCCAGAGACAGAGGACTCAGCCTGCCTTCCAAGTGCAAAGCAGGGAGATCTGAGGGTCACAGGTTCAAAGCCATTGGGTCTGTTGGGTGCTGTTGGGCACCTGCCCCAGGCCTTGGGTGCCACGTTGGAGCTCCCTGCTGGGGGTGGCTGCAGACGTGCCCTGGGCAGCCCAAGTTGTGTCTGTGTATGGCCACTGTATGTGCTCTGCCATTTCCCCACTTCTACTGCGTGCCAGGATGGGTGGGTCAGGGGCCCCGTGTGGGCCTCAGCACATGCTCCCTCCCTTTCCCCCTCCAGACCCCCGCCCCCTTTCCACTCTTGGGGCCGGGGACCTCAGGTAGACCTACTCTCATCCACCTATTTGGATGCGTGCTTCGTTAATGCCAGGCCCAGTGACCAGGAAGTGGACAGTGATGGGGGGGCCCCTGTTACCCTTTCCTCCAGGCCCCTGTCCATTCCGGCAGGGGCCCACCCAGGGCAACTTCAGCTCGAGATGGTGTCAAGCTGGCCCTCCTACCAATGCCTGACTTCCTAATGCGTGCGGCCTCCTTACAGCACAGCACGCTCTCCTCGGGCAGTTTCTGCTCTCAGAAGGAGCCCATCTCTCCTTCCCTCCCTTCCCTGTGGAGGCCTCCAGGAGGCTGGATGGCATGGCAGGATCAGGCACCACCAGGTGCCCAGTTTCCCCGTCTGAGTCTGTAAGTACCCACGGGAGGGGAGGGGAGAACTGGAAGGGAACCCAAGACAGCAGCAAGTTAGGGGGGCTTGAAATGAACGGGTGTGTTGGGGGCCCGAGGCAGGGCAGGCACCATTCCACTGAGAACTGAGCTCTTTGTCTTATTCCACTGCCCCCCAGCCCTGAGGACCACCAACCCTGCCAGAATCACAGAAGGCTTGATCACAGAAGGTCCTTAGAGAGAAAAATAGAGAGTCTTCGCTTTTCAGAAAGGGAAACTGAGGGGCCGGCCCCGTGGCGTAGCGGTTAAGCACGCGCACTCTGCTGCAGTGACTTGTCCAGGTCAGAGCCAGCCTGTATGTCAGCCAGAGCTAGAGCCCAGGTCTCCAGCTCCCACTCCAGGGTTCTTCTCGCCACACTGACACCTGTGGGCTTGGAGAGGGAGGGAAAGGAGAGCAGGCCTGGTGGAGGAGAAGCTCCAGGGAGACCAGGAGCCACACAGGGGAAACTTACAGTTTAGGGCCGCAGTCTTTGTGACACCCTGCTCCAAATGTGGGTTCACTGATGACAAATTGTGACAGGCCAAACCCCTAATAGATAGACTAGAATTCAGTATTTCCATACATGAGATGGGGCACACCCTTGAGCTGTCCATGACGGTGGGAGAAATGAACAGGAATGGGGCAGGTCCAGTCAGGGGGGCATTTGGGAGGACACGGGCTCCGGTGGCTTCTTGGATATAACAGCAAGGCAAACAGGAAAAGGGGGTGCTCCAGGCCTGTGGCCCACCTGCGGAGAAGTAAGAGCAGTGGAAAGGAGTCACACTTCTAGAATGTTCTATACACAGGCCCATGAGTGTGAAAACTCAGAGGGGAATTCCAGCTGCTCTGGAGGGGAAATGGTCCTGGGTGAGTCACTTCCCCTCTCTGCCTCTGCTGCAAGCCCTCCATCCTTGTGAAACATGAGGCTCCATTGGGTCCCAGGTTATGAACCCCAGAGAACCTTGGGTGCTGTTCAAACAACCAGATACCCAGCATCCCCTCCAGACCTATTGAACATGAGTCTTGGGGTGGGCTCACACAAGCTGATGCTTCACAAGCTCCAGGTGACTCTGGAGAGCAGCCAGGGCTGAGGGCCACGGATCCAGGAGACATTCTGAGTTCCGGGCTCTTATGAGCACTTTCCCTTCCCTCACCACGAAGGTCACATGGACTAGGAGCTACTGAACTTTCACTTCACTTTGGGATTTTTCACAACTCAGATACAAATTGAGTCACAAAGGACAACCAAGGCTGGGAAGTGATTGGATGAATTATTCTTAAACAGCAACAAAAACAGCCTTAGTCTGAGGGGATGCAATTCCTGTTGTTAGCACCAGAGGGAGCAGGTGTCTCAGTCCAAATCCCCTTCAAACGGGTGGGTTTTCAGCTTAGTCTTTTCAAGGGCTGGGGGCCCTGTGCTGCGAGGAGGGGATCGCTGAATGGTCTGCCCGGTGCCCTGGTTTCCCCGGAAAGCCCAGAGCTCTTCTCAATCCATTTGCACACCCGTCAGGTGTATCACTGCCTACTCTGGGGTAATTCTTGGCTGCGGGGTCTGGAGCCCTCACTCCTTCTGGAAGGCAGAGAGCATACGTGATCTGCACATCTTCCCCAGTGCATGGGGTAACTATGAAGCCTCTAACCCCGTAGTTTGAGTTAATCAGCGCCATGAGCAGGACCTTGCGAGAGGTGGAGACGCTGAGCAGGGACGTTTGTGTGGTGGGAAGTGAAAGAGGTTGGTGGTCTGAGGGGCGCTTCTCAACCCCAGCCGCAGAGATTCTGACTTCACTGATGGGGCATTGGTGGTTTTGAAACCTCCCCAGGTGAACTTCATGTGGAGCACAGTTGAAAGTCACTGGCCTAGCAGGTGTGCACGGCCAGGGGGGTGAGGAGAGTGGCAGGCAGGGGGAAGGGATGCGGGACAGAGACCCGGAGGGCCCAAGGAAAACTTACCGGCCTCACAGTCTGGGGAGGGGCAGATGGCTGCCCCCTGCCCCAGCAGCAGCCTCACCCATGCTCCCTGAGAGAACGCTTTCAGGGCACGTGCTGGGCTTGGACGCTGGGGCCCTGGGGTCTTCTGAGCCTGCTCTGCCCTGGCCTTTCCCTACAGCCTCCAGGACAGGAAGAGATGGGCACGAGGTTCAGGCTGGGCAGAATTAGCTGGTGAGCCCACCAGCTAGTCTCACCCCATCCTGTGCTGGAGGGCTCACTGCCGGATCTCACCCAGCCTCCGCACACTCAGGGATGGGGAGCTCACATGTGGGGCCCTGAGGGCAGAGAAAGAGCCCGGGTGAGGGAGGGACAGGAGGTCCTCTCTCAGGTTCTGGCTGGCACTCCCCGGCTGGGTGGCCTGGGTCGGGCCCTCTCCTCCCTGCTCTTGGTTTCCCCATCAGAGGAACTAAAGGCTTGGACTGGGTGATCTCTAGCTCCTATAGACGTTGATCTCCTTTCGAGAGTGAGGGTGCTCTGGCACAGGCCTCTGATTTTTCTAAACTTTGGGACCTTGGAGAAGACCCCCCCCCCCTGCAATCCCAAACTCTCCCTGGCTGAGCAAGTAGGAGGTGCCCCAAAGAACCCACCCTGAGCATCTCCACTGGTCCTGCCTCAGTCAAAGGGAGCGGGCTCCCTGGGCAGACAGGGGTGGGGTAGGGGGTGGGGAGGATGCTAAAGAGTGTTCCAGGGCAGAGGGGGGTATTGAGTGCCCCCCAGGACCTCATCCCGCCATCCTTGCTCCAGGGCATCGGGCTGCCGCTGGAGAGATTAATCGCCCGCGTTGATCCTCAGCCCCAGGCAGCTGAGCTCTGAACTGCAATTCAGCAGAGGCCTCTGGGGCGGCAGTGACCCGCTCCTCACCAGGCGCCATTCTTCATCCTCCACCTGACAAACACCTGGCTAGGGGATATCAGAGGCAAATGCCGCGGCCACCCAGCCTTGTCCTGTCGTCGTGGTGAGTCCCTGGCTGGGAAGATGGATGGGCCCTGGGCCTTGGAGCCAGAGCCGCAGCAGCCTCAGTCAAGGGCCTCAGGAGGGTAGTGCTGAGCCTGGGCTAGACTGGGAAAGCCAGAGGGGTGCCCAGGTGACCAGCCTTGGGAGAAACCACCGACTCGGCCCCTGTGCCCCCTTCCCGGACTGAGGACACTACATTGTTTGCACGTGAGTGACTGAGGGCTTGGGAAGAATCCTGTGTAGAACTTGGAAGCGTGGTGCCCAGGGCTTCAGCCTGACACTGGAGGGGTTGGGAGGTGGCAGGAGGAGCCCAGGGTGAGAGGTTTTCCCCAGGTGTGGATGGGCCTCGTGTCTGGAAGGCACCAGAACGAGCTGCATCGGGTGCAGCTCCCCAAGTTCTGATGGGCCAGCTTATTTCGGGGGCTTGTTGGGCTGCCTGCTGTGACGGAGCATGACCTCCCGCAGTCCTGTTCCCCTAGCCCCCGAGGCCCTCAGGGACTCCTGGCTGCCCTTTGTCTCCAGAGCTCTAAACT